CCCCCCCCCCCCCCCCCCTTTCCCCTTAGGGACCTGAGTCGACTCAGTCACCCCAGGGAGATAAGAATGAGAAAGAGTTTACCTTCAGACAACTGTCAAATCAAAATTAGGGTGCGTTTTGTGGCATGGGTGTCTCCAAGATTGGACTCGCGTCCCTCCCCACCCAATGTTCCACCCTATGCAGAATTTGATGTAGCTAATGACTGTACGTTCAGATTAGTGTCACCTTTCGTTGTTCGATTGCGAGTTTGAGCTGAATGCCCTGTACAGGTTTGCCTTTCAGAAAGATGAACTTGTTTCTTCCCACAACGAAGCACATTTTTAGTAGCCTTTCGCAGCTTCTTATGCATAAACATGCAAATAAATGGATTGTAGCATGCAGACGATTTGGCAATGTACGCTGGAATCGACGCGCCGATGTCGCTGACCAGACCAGGGTCGTACATGGCTATAATCGAGGCGATGGTGTACGGCGTCCAAGCGAACAGAAAACCGGTTGTCATGACAACCCCTATCCACGTCATTTTGGTCTCAGCTGCGACAGTTTCTTGAGTAACAGTGGACTTTTCTCCCCACTGCTCACGTGCTTGCTCACCTAACTTGCCAAGAGTTGTGTACGACTTGTACAAACAGAAGATGATCGCAGCAACTGGTACCACAAAGCACGCCAGGATCAAGCACACGGCGTATGAGACATTACCAGCCTCTCTCGACTCCCAATCAATGGAGCAGCTCGTTCCAACTCCTTCTTTTACATAGCTTGACCAACCAAGGATAGGGAAAAAGCTCCAGACGAATGAGTAACACCAGAGAACTGAGGAGAGAAGCAGAGCTTTCCTTCGGCTGAGCTGAGCGGTACCATTTTTGTACAGCTTGTAAAATGTGATGCAACGTTCACACGCGGCCCCGACCAGATTCATCATGGATCCGAGACCAAAAAAGGTGGTGAGGAAACCGTACGCGATGCAACCTGCGTCTCCAAACAGCCACTCGCCTCTTGCGTTGGCTGCCACTAGCAGTGGAAGCGCTACCAATGAGTAAAACAGGTTGCTAAGCGTAATGTTGAGAATGAAGACGTTGGGAGCATCTAAGAGCCTGGTATTTGTGAAATACACGAAGCAAACGAGAAAGTTGAGGGTTACCCCACATATTCCAAAAACGGACGCAAAGGCTGCGAAAACTTTAAAGACGGTCCTCATCGTCAGTCTTTCACCTAGAGAGCGAAAGAGAGTAGGTGTCATTACATTACGTAATTGAGCATGGGCGAATTAAAGAAAAAGTATTTTGTGATTTAGATTAATTAATTTAGCTTACGGCGGACAGTCACATACATTGATTCTTGTTTAAGGCTCTCTACAGCGGCCACTTTCTTCTGTTCCCAAGGTGGCCGTTATGGCAAGGTTCAACTTTATTCTACGTACTATATGGACGACAGTGACTAGGGCTCTTCTCGCCGTTCTTTACTTTTCTTCGTTCCATATATATTTTTCCGCCCGTTTAGACTTTCCCTCGTCCCCACTATCTGCCCCTGGGTCTCCGAGGATGGTTTAGCATATAATGGGGCTAATTTAAACATAATCCTTTAAAAAAAAGAGCAGATACAAAGAAAATCAACGCCCAGAAAGCAGGGCACTAAAAATACATAGACAGGGGGCAATTAAAAAGATTGGATAGACTATCGCTTGAAATGCCGTTCCGCCAAGGACTTAACGTTAAACAGTCCGTTGCCGATCTTATATCTTGTATAGCCCTGGATGACTCTTTGTACACTGGACTGCGGATGAACAGAGCCGGTAACAGCCGGTTTCGATACTTGTCGAGTTCGCTACCTGTTTATGCAGCCGAAGTGTCCTGAGTCCAGGGGGGTACTCCGGATTTCAAGTGAGAGGGATGATCGAATGGGGGCAAAAATAAAAACCCAACAAAACCACAGGACCGAAATTTAACCCCCCAAAAAACCAATTTCCGAGTCATAAAAATTTCCAGAAAGCATTTAACAATTATTTGCCGAAGGCGAAGTTAATATTGTTGAATAATCCCCTAGAAGAAGTCGGGGGATTATTAAATGATATAACACGAAAAATCGATAGAAAAATTAGTTCTGAATACCCAAAAAAATTCTGCTTAAATCAAGCTACCAAAACAAATAGTTGCCAAAATTTTCCTACCAAAAATATCCCGAAATCGAAAATTTCCACCCCTAAAAAATCCTGCGATCATCCCGGCCACTTGAATTCCGGAGTACCCCCTCCCCCCTTAGGGACCTGAGTCGACTCAGTCACCCCAGGGAGATAAGAATGAGAAAGAGTTTACTTTCAAACAATTGTCAAATCAAAATTAGGGTGCGTTTTGGGGTATGGGTGTCTCCGAGATTGGACTAGCGTCCCTCCCCACCCAATGTTCCACCCTATGCAGAATTTGGTGTAGCTAATGACTGTACGTTCAGATTAGTGTCACCTTTTGTTGTTCGATTGCGAGTTTGAGCTGAATGCCCTGTACAGGTTTGCCTTTCAGAAAGATGAACTTGTTTCTTCCCACAACGAAGCACATTTTTAGTAGCCTTTCGTAGCTTCTTATGCATAAACATGCAAATAAATGGATTGTAGCATGCAGACGATTTGGCGATGTACGCTGGAATCGACGCGCCGATGTCACTGACCAGACCAGGGTCGTACATGGCTATAATCGAGGCGATGGTGTACGGCGTCCAAGCGAACAGAAAACCGGTTGTCATGACAACCCCTATCCACGCCATTTTGGTCTCAGCTGCGACAGTTTCTTGAGTAACAGTGGACTTTTCTCCCCACTGCTCACGTGCTTGCTCACCTAACTTGCCGAGAGTTGTGTACGACTTGTACAAACAGAAGATGATCGCGGCAACTGGTACCACAAAGCATGCCAGAATCAAGCACACGGCGTATGAGACATTACCAGCCTCTCTCGACTTCCAATCAATGGAGCAACTCGTTCCAACTCCTTCTTGTACATAGCTTGACCAGCCAAGGATAGGGAAAAAACTCCAGACGAATGAGTAACACCAAAGAACTGAGGAGAGAAGCAGAGATTTCCTTCGGCTGAGCTGGGCGTTGCCATTTTTGTACAGCTTGTGAAATGTGATGCAACGCTCGCACGCGGCCCCGACCAGATTCATCATGGATCCGAGACCAAAAAAGGTGGTGAGGAAACCATACGCGGTGCAACCTGCGGCTCCAAACAGCCACTCGCCTCGTGCGTTGGCTGCCACTAGCAGTGGAAGCGCTACCAACGAGTAAAACAGGTTACTAAGCGTAATGTTAAGGATGAAAACGTTGGGAGCATCTAAGAGCCTGGTATTTGTGAAATACACGAAGCAAACGAGAAAGTTGAGGGCTACCCCGCATATTCCAAAAACGGACGCAAAAGCTGCGAAAACTTTAAAGACGGTCCTCATCGTCAGTCTTTCACCTATAGAGAGCCAAAGAGAGTAGGTGTAATGAGCATGGGCGAATTAAGAAAAAGTATTTTGTGATTTAGATTAATCAATTTAGCTTATGTGAAAAGAATTAGGCCAGTAGGGTCTGATTGGGCTGACTGCTTCAGTTTGCCAAGATCCGCATCTTGTGCTCACCAAATCTGGAAGATGTTTGCTATCACAGTCGAACATACGCTCCACTTACGATCACACCTCTCCACAATGGCCTCCTCTCTACAACGGCCACTTTTTTGGCGCACAGTCACATACATTGATTCTTGTTTAAACCTCTCTACAGTGGCCACTTTCTTCTGTCCCCAAGGTGGCCGTTATGGCAAGATTCAACTTTATTCTACGTACTATACTGACGACAGTGACAGGCGTTAATCGTGGAATAATGCAGTGGAAGTCCTTTAATGCGACCACCGTTGGGCCGTAAAATCCTAGTCGTAATAACGAGGTGGTCGCATTAACAGTGTTTTTAAAATAATAAGATGACTCAGTGATGTTTTCGTTTTGGTTCGAAAGAATATGATTGTAATACCTAGGTGGTCGTATAAACGGGGTGGATTGACGTCACCACTGACGTCAATGGGAGGGCCTGAATGGGGTTTAGTGTTAAGTGTTATTTGGCCAATTCTTTAGTGTTTACTGTTTACGGAGAAAATGGTGTTTTTAAAAGTGTTTGGCGGGTTTTTCGTGAAAACGAAACACCATAGTCTTTTAGCATTGTCAAATCTTATCTACTTTTGGAAAATTTTCGGATTTCTCCTCGGAAGTCTTCGGTTGTCTTCAAAGATCTTCGGCAATCTTCGGCAATCTTCCTTGGTAGTCTTCGGGGGTCTTCGGTAGTCTTCGGAAATCTTCTGAAATAATCGGAAATTGTGGCAAAATGGCCGAAAACTCCTTGATATACTTAACAGTATATTATTGGCCTGTTTGGAGCCGTTTTTGTTTCTTTTTGGAAAACATTTGGTGGTAGGTGGTCGTATAAACGGGGTGGTTTGACGCCACCACTGACGTCAATAGGAGGGCCTGAATGGGGTTTAGTGTTTAGTGTTATTTGGCCAATTCTTTAGTGTTTACTTTTTACGGAGAAAACAGTGCTAAGTGTTTGGCGGGTTTTTCGCGAAAAAGAAAAACCATAGCCTTTTAGCATTGTCAAATCTTATCTGCTTTTTGAAAATTTTCGGATTTCTCCTCGGAAATCTTCGGTTGTCTTTAGACATCTTTGGCAATCTTCGGACTTCCTTTGCAGTCTTCGGGGGTCTTCGGTAGTCTTCGGAAATCTTCTGAAATAGTCGGGAATTGTCGCAAAATGGCCGAAAACTCCATGATATACTAAACAAAATAAAATTGGCCTGTTTGGAACTGTTTTTGTTTCTTTTTGGAAAAATTAACCGTTACAGTGAATTTTTTACTGGTGGTGTTAAAATGCCTAAAATTTAACTGTTTCATTTTACAGAGCCAAAAAAATAAGTGTTAGTGTTATCTAAATACGTCCATTCAGACCCTCCAACATGGGAATAATCGAAAAATTATCCACGATTGACGTTGCGCAAGACATTGGCGTGGCATTTTAGCTGTTTGGCAATGGAGAGCTGAAAAAAAAAAGTTTAAAAAATAGTCGAATTACGGACTAAAAAGATAGCAAGAATGCGCCAAAAAAAAAAGCACTCGACGAATTGTAAATGTTTTTTGCACTTGAGGCATATTTGAAAGTACAAGAACACCCATTCATATTGTAAAACTGCCAAGAAACAGGCAATCGTTTTAAAGAAATTCTAACCGCGGAAGTGAGGTTGAAAATATTGTGAATTGGTATAATTAAAACGATTATTCATGGAAAATATCTCTTC